TTCTCCTCTATGCCCCGCCTTTCTGAAACACGTCGATTTTTACAAAGCTCATTGTTCTGAAAAGTGAGGTGTGCTGTGATTGGCCAGCTATCCAGTGCGTTGTGATTGGCCGAATGCCGCAAGCGTGTGACGGAAATGTTACGCCCCTCACATACTGTGATGCCGTCTCCCAGCAGGATGAGACAAAACCAATAAAACCCATTACAAAGGAGGCATTTGTTGCATCCAGTGGGGACGGATTATAATGGCATATACTGTCTTTTTACGTGTTGCATCGCACCGCGCAAGCATAAAACCATGTCTGCATTTGTGATCGGAGAAACAACAAACAACAAGCCCTACTCTATACTGCTCAAAACTCGCGTTTGAATCATCAGTGGCAAATTATTTAAATATAAAAAAACTTACTTACAGGCTGTGAGTCAGAAGCGCCAGACTGCCCTTGCAAAGTTGTTACTGCCCAACTTTATAGAAACAGCCTTTGTGCACAGATGCATTGTAGGCTACTTGTTTTAGGAAACAGTCCTCATCCTCCATAAAATGTGCTGCACACATCTGAATATTTGGGTTGAAGTGTTCTGGAACAGTGTTGTAAATACAACTTAACCACTGATTTCTAGTCGTGTCCTCTTTTGGAAGGCCAAACAAAGTAGTTTCACTTTCACAACGAAACACACAGTGACTCCACAACATGGCAGTGGCTGCAACAGCAAGAATTAAAGTTACGCCTTCTTTCTTTGCGTGAACATTTGGGCGGCGTTATGCAAATCTTCCCACATCGTGACGTAGACATGTGGGGGCATGTTAGAACGAGCCGTTTTAGGTAGGTGTGGTTGACTCTTAACTTTTATAAAGAATAACTCTTTGGATTTGAGACTTTAGTCTTTGCAACTTTACAGATCTTCTTTATGCACCAAGAGCTTGTACCACTCCAAAGAGAAAGGAAAAATTGAAAGTGCATCATATGAGCCCTTTAATGGACTGAAGCAATTTAGCTTTTATTTGATTTTCCATACATCATTTTAAAAAATCATGTTAAAATGTATAAAATATGATCCATCAGGCTTTGTATTTGCATTGTATTATATGTTTTCCATTTAAATATTACATATTTGCATGATATGTTTTGCATTTAATAAAAATCTTGGTAAGACATTATTGAGAGATATATAGTAATAAATGATATTTATGTATTTTATGTAAGTAGTTCGATCTTATTGGTTTACATTATAAGATATTCGGATTCTATCTGACTTTTTGTCCATATAGATATCAGCATGTGAATCAATTGTATATTTTTGCTGTTTTTCCTCCTCAAGTATGAGCTCCATATTCTTTTACTAGATGTTAAAATGTTGTTGTCTTTTAACAACAACCTTTATTTATAAAGCACATTTAAACACAATATAAATTGATCCAAAGTGCTGTACAGTGTGTACAAGCAGGTCTACACAATAAAACATACCACACTATATGCACCATAAAAGCCTGATGCATCAAAAATTATGCATTTTATGTGATGTTTTGAGATTTAAAAAAAATATATTTTGGCTAAATGTAAAATCTTTTTATATTAATATATTTAACCTTTTATATTAAAGGTAGATTTTTCTATTATTTCATATGGCTTTACAGGGTTAAGTCCAAGTATTAAAATTGCTCAAGCTAAAATAAAAAATAATGCTAAATAGAAATATTAAGCAAACATCAAAATGACAAATGCGCACTAAATGTACTTATGTAAGCTAAAAAGATGAAAATAAATGCTCGAAAGTTCAAAATACAACTTGTACAATATACTATATTAATACCACAGATTTTTGAAATTACGCTTTGAAAATGTTTCTTGTCTTTTAATCTCACCTAAGATTCAACTGCCAGCATCCGCCGCAGCTGGTCTGAGTCCGTCTGACAGCTCTGACTTCACATCTGATGATGAGGTGAAGAAGAGCGACTCCTGTGACTCCAGCCCTGAGACTGAAGAGAAGCAGAGCAGCAGCTGGAGCTCCAGACGAGCCAAAGGGAAGACGGCAAACCCCAATGAACCGCACTCCAAAGACACCTCTGCACATTCCAGCTCCAGCAGGCCGGCCGGTGGGACTGCCGGGTCCTTCGGTGACCCCGTCGCTACGGATGACAGCTCTAACGCAGGAAAAGATGCAACCAAGCCAGAGGAACCTTAGCTAAGCACAGCACCTTTTCTGGAGAAAGATATCAGCTCGAGGCTGGGATCGCAGGTTTCAGCTGGGTCTGTGATGTCGTTGTAGATTTACTGTCCTGTGATGTTGTTTAGAGATGTTGTCTTATATGTTGCAGGGCAGAAGTAAGCGTTTAGTATGTGGCTCCCTCCAGCAAACACAAGAGGGCAGACTAAATTGTTTGTGCCTGTTCTGTGTAGTCATTCTATTTATATACTTCTTCTCCTATTCCTTTATAACTGCACAAGACTAAATCTGAAACTCTCAGAAATAATCTTCGATATACATGCACAATAATATGTGATTCATGGATTTGGTTTTCCAGGATCAACCAGGGTTTAATGCACAACAGAACACAATTCTGGTTCTTATTGGATTTACTGGAGCAGATCCTCTTAAGTTTTTCCAGTGCTCTGTTCCAAACTCTAGTTGAGCTGCCTATCTAGGCATCATTAGCTATGTTTCCACCCAAAGTTGTGAATTTAATTTATGCACAAAATTTAAATATTTTTTGAAATATTTTTCGCACAAACCTAAATAAAGCACCGTTTTTATCCAGCAAGACGAAGAGAACAAAATCGTAACTTCCTGAAAACTGGTGCCACATATCTCTAAGAAAAGGTCATTTGCTGCAGTAGGAGAAGCCACTGTGGGTCTTTTGCGTAAAATAAATTACGTAGACAAATTGCAATAAACACAGTCATGTCATCCTGCATTCGGAGGCGGATGCCTGCTGTTTGGAAATGCAGACAGTTCTGTAAGATTGTCATACCGAACCACTTTGGCGACAGACTTTGGCTCAAGCTTTTAAGAATGACTAAAACAACATTTCAGATGCTGTGCAACAAGATCGGTCCACTGATTAGTCTAGTTATGCCGTCTCATTGTGCAAAGTCACATGACTTTTTAGATGCACATCAAGGAATTTATTCATAGTTTATGCGCATGTTTTCTTATCAGATAAAAAATGTATCTGCCTCAATTACATTTTTAGAATTTTGGTGCATCTTGCCATTTCCATCATGTGTTTTTTTATGCAATACCCCAAAATGTGCATACAAATAGGTGGATGGAAACATAGCTACTGACACGCACCAGACTCCCAGATTTGACAAAGCATCTCACCTCTCAAGGATTGGGCAATCCCAGACTGCACTGTGAGAAATATTAATCAATTCTGAAAAGATTGGAGTAAAACAGCTCTGTCTCAGTGACTATTTCAGGCAATATTTATGTGTGCTACGTAATTTGCTACATCAGAACAACCTCAGACTCTATCTGAGGTAATCAACTGTAAGCATTAAGTCTGGTTTCTCATGGGAAGTGGTACATTGAAAGACTTACATTTAATTTAGGACACTGCCTTGTAAGGTAGCCGTCTATGTAGATAGCAGAGAGCGAGGCAGTTCCTTAGGATTTGGAGCAGAGCTCGTGATTTTGCAGTGTCCTGCCATAGAGGATGTCGAGAATACCCTGCTGAAGGTGACATGCTGTCAACAGCACCTTATTAAGCCAGGGAAAGGTTTATGATAACAATACACATGCTCTGAAAATGCATATTTACTCTCCTCAGGTTCTTGAAACGCAGACACACATAAAGGGATGACTCTTGGCTAACGCAGCACTCGGTAAAGTAAAGTACAGTTTGTATATTATTCATGTCCATTGCCATCTTAACCAACTGTTAGCATTTTACGATATTATAGGACAATGATGAAGTCTATTGCTCTCAAAGTTGTGACTGCTGTGCCGTCCTGTGGTTAATGTTCTCAAAAATAATTTCAAAGTAATGTCATGCTAGTTTAAAGTCAACATGAAATGCTGTTCACAAACCAATTTTGCATTGGATATTTTTGAATGAAACAGGATAGTCACTGAAAGAAAATACAAGGCGGGCTTGAATTGAGTGGATTGTGAAAAGTGGGTGTTATTGGCTGGTGCTTTGTGACATCATCTGAAAAAGAAATGTATATCAGAGGTGGAGCAAATGATTACACTTTTATGGAAGAATATGAAGACAGGCATTTTTTTAAATGTAACATTCACCAGTGAATGAACACAGAACACATTTTTGTGTTTAAAAACACAAGACACAGAACAGTGGAATGAAAAAATGGTGCAGAGATGCACAACACGGGTGCCCTGTTTTTAGAACTCTGTGTCATGATCGAGATGCTGCAAAAGATGCAAGTGCAATAGTCAAAAAGGTCCGTTTTAGTAAAGTGGAATGCAAAAATGTGTTCTGTGAGTACAGTAGTCAGGGACATCATCTGGTGCATCTTTATGTAGAAAAACAATGGAAAAGAAGTGCAGTGGAATGCAAAAATATGTTTTGTGGGAACGGCACCTTAAGGTGCATTCATACTACATCAACTTTTTATTACACTTGAATGGAAGAATATGAAGAAAAACACTTTTTAAATGTAACTTTATTTTCCGTAGGACCTTCACAACACTTCTCATGTCTGATTTCTTCAAACCTAGTTCATTTGCAACACTATCAATTGCAAAAAAGTAACCAAAACCAGGATCAGGTGTGTTAATACTCATTATATTTTTATACTCCATTAGCCATACAAAATTTAAAAGCTAATATGAATAAGATACAGTATTGGAAAATTCACTTTCCTTTCAAAGCCAAATAAATGTTTTGCAAGTGCGAGTGTTTGATACTTTGTATAATTTTGGTTGTCATGCATTTTTAAAAATTATTATTATTTTATTCTGAGAAATTCATATATATAAGCATGCGAAGGGAATGTTATTAGCGGAAATTATGGAAGAATATGAAGAAAAACACTTTTTAAATGTAACTTTGACCAGTGACTCCTGCGCTGTAAGGGCCTGTTCACACAAAATGCGTTTTTGCACTTAAGAACACATGACACAGGGGAGTAGAATGGAAAAAGCACACTTTTAACTTGAGTATTGCTTTTTAAAAAAAAATGCTGTGTCATGCATAAGATGGTGCATTCATACTACATCAACTTTTTATTACACTTGAATGGAAGAATATGAAGAAAAACACTTTTTAAATGTAACTTTGACCAGTGACTCCTGCGCTGTAAGGGCCTGTTCACACAAAATGCATTTTTGCACTTAAGAACACATGACACAGGGGAGTAGAATGGAAAAAGCACACTTTTAACTTGAGTATTGCTTTTTTTTTTTTAAATGCTGTGTCATGCATAAGACGCTGCAAAAGACATGACAGCAAAGGTCAAACATGCACGTATATATACAGTGCAAAATGCACTAGACGCACATGAGCAATTTTTAACTTGAGTGCTAAATTTTTAGAATGCCACGTCATGTGTGAGACACTGTAAAAGATGTAAGCACAAAGGTAACAAACACCCATCTAGTTCACGTTTACATACAAAAAAAAACAATGGAAAAGATGAGCAGTGGAATGCAAAAAAGAGTTCTGTGTAAACAGCCCCTTAAAATGCGTTCATACTCATTTTTTAGTACACTTTCATGGAAGAATACGAAGACAGACATTTTTTAAATGTAATGCTCAGCATGTCATGTGAGACGCTGCAAAAGACGCGAGCACAAGAGTAACAAACATCCATGTAGGCTAAATGAAAAAGAATTTGCAGTGGGATGCAAAAATGAGTTTTGTGTGAACGGCCCCTTATGATACTTTCCTACAAACATCTTATTTCAATTTGATGGAAGAATACAAAGAAAAAAATGTTTTACATGTTGCATTCACCAGTGACTTGTGCGCTATAAGGGCCAGTTCACACAGAGCGTGTTTCTGTTTTTTTTAAAACAGTGGAATGAAAAAACGCAGAGACATCAATAACTTTTCACTTGAATGCTATGTGTTTGGAATGCTGAATTGTGTGATATCCTGCAAAAGATGCAAGATTCAAGTGCAATGGTCAAAAATGTCAGTCTAGTGCAAGTTTATGGAGAAAAACATTGGAAAAGAAGTGCAGTGGAATGCAAAACGCATTTCGTGTCAACGGCCCCTTAAGATGCGTTCATGCTTAAATCGCTGGAGTTTGCCAAACAAGGCATTCCTGTATTTTCCACAACATCACATTGCTGCAGATTTGCATGAAGTTAAACTCTGCTCAAATTTATCGCATTGACAGCGTTTTCACCGAATGACTTTCAGTTGTTTCGTCGGTGCAAATCACTGTCAGGGAACACACAATCCAGAATTTTGATTTCATGTTGACTTTAAACAACGATTGCATGGTTTCTATCTGATCTTTAGTCTGATTTGTGCCAAGTATTGTATCATGACTGTACTTGTGGTAGGAATCCTAGCATACGTGTTGTCTAGGGCTTTCTAGGATTTATCCTACTCGTCTCCTCTACACCTCTTCTCCTTTCTCTGTATTTCCTCTGCTCTCTCATTCCTCATCTCGTCTTTTTGTCTCCAGTTCGACCCCTCCAGGGTCACGGTAATCTGTTTTGACGTTGTCTACAGGGCTCTACTAAGTGCTCCGATATCGTAATCTATTGGATTAGTAGTTCGTAACCCATAGAAATTTTGTACCATGACTACTTAGCCTTAGGACACGTGGCGTGCTGTCTCACTGTTTACATGGTTAGCTGAGTGAGAGTGTAAGCGTGTCAGTGTATGTGTTTTTGCATGGACGTGTCATGGATATTCACAGTATCGTGTTGTCTGCCACCTTTCAATATTGTAGAGGTGTATCGAGAAGTGTCACTTCTAGATGGAGTAGAGAAAATGTGGACGATGGAAGTAGTCATTCTTTTACATTCTAATCTTTATAGTTTGCTGTTGGAATATCTTTGGAAATCACAATCTGGCATTCTGGAACGAGATACTTTTTGCTAGAAATACTGTAAGTTAAAAGTCTATAGCGAGAAAATGGCATTTTGACAAAAGTTGAGGCTTAACTTATTTCTAGATATCTGTATGTGTTTTAGATAGGTAATCTCTATTTTCCGTAGGACCTTCACAACACTTCTCATGTCTGATTTCTTCAAACCTAGTTCATTTGCAACACTATCAATTGCAAAAAAGTAACCAAAACCAGGATCAGGTGTGTTAATACTCATTATATTTTTATACTCCATTAGCCATACAAAATTTAAAAGCTAATATGAATAAGATACAGTATTGGAAAATTCACTTTCCTTTCAAAGCCAAATAAATGTTTTGCAAGTGCGAGTGTTTGATACTTTGTATAATTTTGGTTGTCATGCATTTTTTAAAATTATTATTATATACAAAGAAAAAAATGTTTTACATGTTGCATTCACCAGTGACTTGTGCGCTATAAGGGCCAGTTCACACAGAGCGTGTTTCTGTTTTTTTTAAAACAGTGGAATGAAAAAACGCAGAGACATCAATAACTTTTCACTTGAATGCTATGTGTTTGGAATGCTGAATTGTGTGATATCCTGCAAAAGATGCAAGATTCAAGTGCAATGGTCAAAAATGTCAGTCTAGTGCAAGTTTATGGAGAAAAACATTGGAAAAGAAGTGCAGTGGAATGCAAAACGCATTTCGTGTCAACGGCCCCTTAAGATACGTTCATGCTTAAATCGCTGGAGTTTGCCAAACTAGGCATTCCTGTATTTTCCACAACATCACATTGCTGCAGATTTGCATGAAGTTAAACTCTGCTCAAATTTATCGCATTGACAGCGTTTTCACCGAATGACTTTCAGTTGTTTCGTCGGTGCAAATCACTGTCAGGGAACACACAATCCAGAATTTTGATTTCATGTTGACTTTAAACAACGATTGCATGGTTTCTATCTGATCTTTAGTCTGATTTGTGACAAGTATTGTATCATGACTGTACTTGTGGTAGGAATCCTAGCATACGTGTTGTCTAGGGCTTTCTAGGATTTATCCTACTCGTCTCCTCTACACCTCTTCTCCTTTCTCTGTATTTCCTCTGCTCTCTCATTCCTCATCTCGTCTTTTTGTCTCCAGTTCGACCCCTCCAGGGTCACGGTAATCTGTTTTGACGTTGTCTACAGGGCTCTACTAAGTGCTCCGATATCGTAATCTATTGGATTAGTAGTTCGTAACCCATAGAAATTTTGTACCATGACTACTTAGCCTTAGGACACGTGGCGTGCTGTCTCACTGTTTACATGGTTAGCTGAGTGAGAGTGTAAGCGTGTCAGTGTATGTGTTTTTGCATGGACGTGTCATGGATATTCACAGTATCGTGTTGTCTGCCACCTTTCAATATTGTAGAGGTGTATCGAGAAGTGTCACTTCTAGATGGAGTAGAGAAAATGTGGACGATGGAAGTAGTCATTCTTTTACATTCTAATCTTTATAGTTTGCTGTTGGAATATCTTTGGAAATCACAATCTGGCATTCTGGAACGAGATACTTTTTGCTAGAAATACTGTAAGTTAAAAGTCTATAGCGAGAAAATGGCATTTTGACAAAAGTTGAGGCTTAACTTATTTCTAGATATCTGTATGTGTTTTAGATAGGTAATCTCTATTTTCCGTAGGACCTTCACAACACTTCTCATGTCTGATTTCTTCAAACCTAGTTCATTTGCAACACTATCAATTGCAAAAAAGTAACCAAAACCAGGATCAGGTGTGTTAATACTCATTATATTTTTATACTCCATTAGCCATACAAAATTTAAAAGCTAATATGAATAAGATACAGTATTGGAAAATTCACTTTCCTTTCAAAGCCAAATAAATGTTTTGCAAGTGCGAGTGTTTGATACTTTGTATAATTTTGGTTGTCATGCATTTTTTAAAATTATTATTATTTTATTCTGAGAAATTCATATATATAAGCATGCGAAGGGAATGTTATTAGCGGAAATGAGCTCAATGGTTATTATTAGACGAGATGTGGGTATATAGATCCAGTATGTAGAACAGATGACAATCAGTGCCAAAACAGAGAATGAACTTTAAGATTATATTTATTTTCTTATCCATGCCATTATGTGCATGTCAAATTCTGCTGGTCAGCGTGTTCATTTATAAATCATTATGAAGAAGGTGATTTATGATTATATTGAGAATATGATATAATTTTATTTTCCTTTAAGATTTTTCAGTTCTGCATCTTTATTGTTCATTAAAGCAAATGTCACATACCCATTGCCGTTTGCTTTATATTCACCTTGATTATAATGAAAAACTTTTTTGGACTTGTATTGGGCAGAATGTATCGATTTGGTAGACTTGTGAATCACTGTTCTTGGTTGTTGTTGTTGTTGTTGTATAATGACTCCATTAGCCATACAAAATTTAAAAGCTAATATGAATAAGATACAGTATTGGAAAATTCACTTTCCTTTCAAAGCCAAATAAATGTTTTGCAAGTGCGAGTGTTTGATACTTTGTATAATTTTGGTTGTCATGCATTTTTAAAAATTATTATTATTTTATTCTGAGAAATTCATATATATAAGCATGCGAAGG